ATACTTACCATTAGATGTCTTCTTTTTTTCTAAAACTTTATTTTTTCTCAAAAAAGGCCAAATAAAAATCCATAAATCCTGTCGAACTAATAAAATTAAATAGACCCGAGCGTCAAAATAACAACCAGAAAATAAAAAATTATGACACTAAAAACCAATCCATCCAGACAGAACTCCGTAGGGCGGGGAAAGGCTTATAAAGGCTTCCCATGCCCTGCAATTTGACTCCGCTTGTTATTATTGGTTGGCTTAAGCCAATTTTTTAGATTGCTCTGACAGGTAAATCTTGAGTCTTGCAGGCAAGTTCCACACTGCAGGCTTAGCTCACATCGAGCCTCTTACTATAGAGGAGGCTACAGTGAGCCATTCCAAAGCAGTTTGACTACTTAGATTGGAGGATCCAGGGTACTCATGGTACCATAACCACTACAGCAGGCAACAATCTCTGGTAAAAAGAAACATGCCTTAAAGATGCCATAAGATTAAAAGGAACGCAAACTCATTAAATATATATATATTAATGGTTATGTATCTAGTAGTATATGGTGTATCTAGCAGTAATAGTGTATTTTGTAACCGGAGTTTATCATGTGTTCTAGACAACAAGACCCCTGATTCCTAATTTTGTAATACACATAATGTCATAAGGACACTTTTAGGGCAAGTATAAATTGAAATTGCTCATAATCTGACATGCCAGTTAATCATTGCGGCACTTACACTGATCTTCAATTAACTGCTTAGAAAGAGAAGGGAAAAATATGAAAAAAACAAAACAAATTTGCTTCTGACCAAGGCGCCATTTATTAAAACAGTCAATGCTACACAAAAAAACAGGAAAGCACTCCACAAAATTCTGGTAGTCGATATGGCCACAATACAAGTATTTAAAAAAAAAAAAAATTAAGTCTGTTCACTTAAAAGAGAATCATCATTTTTGAGGATTTGTAATAGCCTATACTTAAAAAATGAATATGTGTTTAAGAAGCCTAAAAATAATTATAAAAAATTGAAAGCCACACAGCTGTATTTAGGATAAATAGGATTTTTGTTGCTTTTTATGCCTAGCAATTTGTGCCGAATTAACCGGATTGTGATATAATTTGCTAAATCATTAATAAACTTTTAAAATAAAACTGAGCATCACACACAGAAAAATGTTAATACAAGCTAAAATTCAATTTATAGTGTTGTTTTCAGAGAAGATACTCTTTATTAAGCCGGAATGCTTTCTGTTCTGAAAATATTCACAACGTTACTTTCCTAAACAATATTTCAAGGATTGCTACGATGTACAATTACGGCTATTCACAACATGCTACAAATTTTGCCTTTGTTTCTGCAGACTGCATTATAAAATCAGCTTTAAGCTGGCACCATGAGGAAAAGATTGATTACGTGGCTCCTAATTTTTTGTTTTTATAGATATATATATATATATTTTATTTAAAGTCTAGGATTTCAGTCTGGAGTGTGTGAGAGAGTGTGGGGGCCAGGGTGGGATCCTACCACTGCTTTCAAACAATATCTACGATGTACAATGATCACAACATACATTGCGCATAATGGTTTTATTAAAATGATGGAGTATTTCTTTATTTGCCGTGAAAGGTTAGTCCCGCAGTACTAATGGGAATCAGATGCAAAGGCTTCGTGTATAAATGGGATAATAGACAAAACCAGCAGGGCATCGAGTTTGACTGTAACTTCACTATCACTGGTATGTAAAAAAAAAAGAAGACACAAAACTATAATATTTCACTCACTAAAAAAGGACCAATTTATTTACCCACAAAACAATTGAAAGTTCAGATGAGGAGCTCTTAATGTAAAAGAGGATAAGGTGATTATTAGAAGGAAGGGTTACGCATATGACAGTAAAGTTAACTATTAAAATGTATTGAAGTACAGAAACAAAGCCTGCCTAAACCCTACAGTACAGGAAAAAGGTTGTACAGCAAATGCTGATGCCAATCGTTGATTATGGGGATGTAGTACATGCACCTGCACTGCAAACCCACCTTAATAAACTTAATACATTGTATAACTCGTTCTGCCGATTTGTGCTACAATGTAATTACAGGACCCACCATCGTGACATGCTAAAAGAACTAAACTGGCTGTCGCTGGAATCCAGACGCACCATTCATCTTTCCAGCCTTGTGTTTAAGAGCTTCTCTGAGAAGCTCCCACCTTACCTAAACAGAATGCTCTCCCCAGGTGTCCCCACCTCCTATAACCTCCGATCCAGTACCAGCACTTTATTTAGTCTACCTCAATACAAAAAGAAAGCGGTCGATCCTCCTTTTCCTATAGAGCTCCACAATTATGGAACGACCTCCTGCACACTTTTAAATCTTCCCCTGGTCTAAAATCCTTTAAGAGATCCCTCTCTACATAGCTCAAAACAGAATGCACCTGTCATGGTTGATTATATATTTCCTATCTGTTCTATGTTAAATTTTGTATATATTGTGTATTAATATTGTTTTTGTATTTTATTGTACCCTGTTTTATCGATGCAATGTTTTGAGGACCCAGGACATACTTGAAAACGAGAGAAATCTCAATGTATCCTTCCTGGTAAAATATTTTATAAATAAATACATTGAAGTATTAGAAGTTTATGAAGTTAATGTCCATATTATCTTTATTAAAAAAACATACCTGTCCCACTAGCGGTTTCTGCAGATATTTACAAATAAAGTATATAATGAAGGGAAGTTAACATTGTCCCAAATCACATTATACAGGTAGAGCCTGGATTAGGCTTTTCTATTGGTTCAAAGCACGGTTAACTGAGTGATAGTACATAAAAAGGTGTACATCTGCTAGAAACGTAATGAACGGTTACATTATCGCTCACTGTGTGAAGACACACATTAGTTTGAAGTATGTGTAGGGATACCTTTAAAAATAGGGAGGTAGGTAAAGTTAGCCAGATGTGAATTTATTCCAGGCTCATGGAAAATCATGTTGGCCAGCCCACTAAGGGTGGACCATGCAGAGAGCACTTACCATGGCACTCCTGAAGTCTCACGGAATCCTCTATACACCTCAGTGTTCTACCTTGTACTGCAACTCACAGCACCCAGACCCTAACCGGAGATGCCATGTTTCAGAAAGTGACAGTTCCACTTTGACTTTAATAGCAGTCGTAGAATCCAAAAGAATTTATCAAAGCATGTATTTAAAAAGAGTAGATCTGTCGGGGTATTTAACTATTAGTATTTTGATCACCAACTTTGCTGGGTATATTTAATAATTTTAGTAATTTTCTCAAATGTGCCAATTTTAGGGTTATTTTCACGGACCATGTATGTCCCACTAATGACCCCTGATTTGTATTCTGATACTACCGCCGATTACAGCAAATACCACACATGAATATCTTTGCCATGTTTTTGGGCAATTTATAGGGTCACATTAGAGGCTTGTCCTACTTTTGGCATGTCTGTTTACTCGCTTCTCAGATAAGCTATTCGGTGGTGACATTATCTGTGTCACCATACTTACTAGCGTCAAAATTTGACACTATTTTTAACCCTCCTTAACTGTAACTGCGACTCTAACCCTAAATGTAACCATAATGCCAAGCAGAGCTATGCAAATCAGTACATTGACCCCCAGGTTGACTGATCACCCTAGGAGTCACAGTAATAAAATACCTTAACTGACAATTAACATTCCTCTTATTGTTTTTCAGGGTGATTGGTTAACCTGGGGGCAAATCAGGGACTACTGTAAGACTGTCTCATTGTGAGGAAGCCAAGCAGTAGCCAATTTACAGCTGATCCCAGCGTAGACTGCAGCAGCCAGTCATAAGCTGTCAATCATGCTACATTAAAAGCTGTGGCAACCTGTCACAGCGGTACAGCAGCTGGGACAGCGTCTTGAGGGCATTACTGGTCAACCTCAGGAGTGATACTGTCCAGTAACATGTGAACGCAGTAATCACCAAGGTATGTACAACTTGTAATACAGGCCCCACTGCTGCCTGAGATGAATGGTGGTCGCAGGGACAACTGTTGCTATAGCTATTTGTGTGGTACCCCACTAGAGAGGCATCCAGAAATAGCAATATTTCCACAAAAAGAGCAATTTTATATTTAAACTAAGTCTTTATATGGAATGGAGCACATCTGGATGTAAATAAGCTTGTATACTGACTCAATCGGGAAAGCACTAAGGAGGCATAATCCTCATATGTACCAGCTTAAAGGGACACTATAGTGTCAGGAAAACCGCTTGGTTTTCCTGACACTATAGTACCCTGAGGGTGCCCCCACCCTCAGGGTCCCCCTCCCGCGGCGCTGAAGGGGTTAAAGCCCCTTCAGCTACTCACCCTTTTCTCTGCCGGGCTCCCTTACCTCTTCTCCCCCGCCGTCAACATCATTGTCTGACGTCACCGGCGCCGAATGCGCGGCACTGCCACGCGCGCATTCAAAGTGTTGAAAAATGCTTTCCTACGGACGCTCTGCGTGATTGAGGCATAATCAGATCCCAGGCCCTTTGAAGGCCAAATATATGTGCATTAAATAAATGTTAAATATAACTCATAATACAGCATTTCTTTGGATGTGTATATTGTGAAGACCTGTGTATCAATGTATGTTTGTATTTGAGTCTGTGTGAATGCACTTGTGCACGTCTGGTTGACTACATATGCTTTTTTGTATATAGTGTCTGTGTGAATGCATATGTGACAGGTGACAGAGTGTGTGAGGGAGAAGGTGACACATGGAAGAGTGTGGGAGGTTGTGACAGGTGGCAGAGTGAGGGGGTACCTGGTGGCAGAGTGAGGGAGGGAGGGGTTGAGTGGTGGCAGAGTGAGGGGGATACACAGTGAGTGGGAGTGACTGGTGACAGAGTGAGGGAGTGGGTGACTAGTGACAGAGTGAGGGAGTGGGTGACTAGTGGCAGAGTGAGGGAGGGAAGAGATGACTAGTGGCAAAGTGAGGGAGGGAAGAGGTGACTAGTGACAGAGTTAGGGGATGACTGGTGACAGAGTGAGGGGATGACTGGTGACTGAGTGAGGGGATGACTGGTGACTGAGTGAGGGGATGACTAGTGACAGAGTGAGGGAGTGACTAATGACAGAGGGAGGGAGTGACTAGTGACAGAGAGAGGGAGTGACTAGTGACCGAGTGAAGGAGGGGGTGACTGTCACTAGTCACCCCATCCCTCTCTCTGTCACTAGTCACTCCCTCCCTAACTCTGTCACTGTGTCGCCCGCTCCCTCACTCTGTCACTAGTCACCCCCTCACTCTGTCACCCCCTCCCTCCCTCTGTCCCTAGTCACCCCCTTCTTCACTCTGTCACTAGTCACCCCATCCCTCTCTCTGTCACTAGTCACCCCATCCCTCTCTCTGTCACTAGTCACTCCCTCCCTAACTCTGTCACTGTGAAGGAAGGAAGGAGTGACCGGTGACAGAGTGAGGGGATGACTGGTGACAGAGTGAGGGAAGGGATGACTAGTGGCAGAGTGAGGGAAGGAAGGGATGACTGGTGACAGAGTGAGGGAATGACTGGTGACAGAGTGAGAGAGGGGGTGACTAGTGACAGAGTGAGTGACTAGTGACAGAGTGAGGGAGGGAGTGGGTGACTAGTGACAGAGTGAGGAAGGGGGTGACACAGTGACAGAGTGAGGGAGGGGGTGACTAGTAACAGAGTGAAGGAGGTGGTGACTGTCACTAGTCACCCCATCCCTCCCTCTGTCACTAATCACCACCTCCCTCACTCTGTCACTAGTCACCCCTTCCCTCCCTCACTCGGTCACTAGTCACCCCTTCCCTCCCTCACTCTGTCACTAGTCACCCCCTCCCTCAGTCACTAGTCACACCCTCCCTCTCTCTTTCACTAGTCACACCCTCCCTCACTCTGTCACTAAGTAAGGGGGTGACTAGTGACAGAGTGAGGGAAGGAAGGGGTTACTAGTGACAGAGTGAGGGGATGACTGGTGACAGAGTGAGGGACGGAGTGGGTGACTAGTGACAGAGTGAGGGGGTGACTAGTGGCAGAGTGAGGGAAGGAAGGGGTGACTAGTGACAGAGTGAGGGAGGTGGTGACTGTCACTACTCCCCCCCACCTTCTGTCACTAGTCACCCCCTCCGTCCCTTACTCTGTCACTAGTCACCCCCTCACTCTAGTGACAGAGTGAGGGAGGGTGTGACTAGTGACAGAGAGAGGGAGGGAGTGACCAGTGACAGAGTGAGAGAGGGGGTGACTAGTGACAGAGTGAGGGAGGGAGTGGGTGACTAGTAACCGATTGAGGAAGGGGGTGACACAATGACAGAGTGAGGGAGGGGGTGACTAGTGACAGTAAGGAAGGGGATGACTAGTGACAGAGTGAGAGAGGGGGTGACTAGTGACAGAGTGAGAGAGGGGGTGACTAGTGACAGAGTGAGGGAGGGAGTGGGTGACTAGTAACCGATTGAGGAAGGGGGTGACACAATGACAGAGTGAGGGAGGGGGTGACTAGTGACAAAGTGAAGGAGGTGGTGATCACTAGTCACTCCCATTCTCCTCTGTCACTAATCACAATCTCACTCTGTCACTAGTCACTGGTACCCCCTTCCTCTCTGTCACAGACAGCACTAGTGAGTGAGGGAGGGTGTGACTAGTGACAGTGAGGAAGGGGGTGACTAGTGACAGAGTGAGGGGATGACTGGTGACAGAGAGAGGGAGGTGGTGACTAGTGGCAGAGTGAGGGGATGACTGGTGACAGAGAGAGGGAGGTGGTGACTAGTGGCAGAGTGAGGGAGGGTGTGACTAGTGACAGTGAGGAAGGGGGTGACTAGTGACAGAGTGAGGGGATGACTGGTGACAGAGAGAGGGAGGTGGTGACTAGTGGCAGAGTGAGGGGATGACTGGTGACAGAGAGAGGGAGGTGGTGACTAGTGGCAGAGTGAGGGGATGACTGGTGACAGAGTGAGGGAGGTGGTGACTGTCACTAGTTTTTTTTTTTTTTTATGAGAGTAGTCTTTGGCCCCCTAATTTGTTTATTAGGACTTCAAACTGTATCACTGATTTCTGGCCAATCATAAAATGCAACACGGAAAGTGAATTAAATCTAAAGAGGAATGTCAGAATAAAAGCCTAAAGTCTTTTTTTTTTTAACTGTCACGTCAAGATCACAGACAATCCGAGCCATAATAAGTATCAAGAAAACAATATAAAGAGACAGTCTGGGGAGATAAATTGTAAACTCCTTTCATAATTCAAGATTAAAAGCATAACATCTATTAATAACAAAAAGACTTATTCAGGGTAATAAATCTATTACACAAGAGTTGCGAAGAGAATGTATTTTGTTTGGGCCACTACAGGGACAAACAGCATAATTCTGTACCCAGAAATGCAGTGTACAATGTGAGAATGCAAATTGGCAATTATGAAAAATCAATAATTATAAGATAATGGGCGAAATGTGTGCTTCAATTAGAAAATATAAGAACAGGCGTGGTTTGATTACAACTCTCAGAGACTAGTGGAAACTTCCATCTTGACCAAAGTATATTTAAAAAAAAAAAAATTTAAATAATAAAGATTTAAAAAATACAAATCACACACCGGTACGCATTTCAAGATCCTTCCTAAGAGATTAAACAAGGGAATGGCAATACGTGTTTTAAAAGTAAGAGATTCAGGATGCAATGTTCCATTAAACTTTCACATTTAGTTGTGGTGCTGGTCTGCTTCTTCTTGATCCACATTAGCTTTAATATTATCTACAAATTACTAGTAACAAATAATTTTTTAATTACATGATTTTAGCGCCATCTTCTTTTTACTTGTTTTCTGGTAATAGAACATTATCTAAAATAGCAAACAGCACCACCATGTAACTACTAGGCCATGACGTGAACAGCAACCGGAGTCTCTCAGCTGTAACAACTTATGAATGAGGCTTCTCCCAGTAATGGGATTTCCCATGGTAAATGCAGCCAGAAATGCACCACAAAATATATATTTTCTTCCATAATTAGTGATATTTCCCCTTTAAAGTTGGCAGGCTAAATGCTGATCTATTGGCACCTAAACCCAGACCAAAAGGGATCATCAGCCTCTTAAGTGGTCATAGTGGTGAGAGATCAAGTTACCCTTCAAATATTTAAACGTGGGTCTCTGGGGCTTCAATGCTGCTTCACTAATCCGTCTCCAACCTATTCCCAGCTTTTAATCAACTGCTTTATTGTGCAGCATGAAACTTGCACTGTGCCTGACCTTTCACCTAGAAACCCAAAACAAAATACCGAGTTTGGAAAGAAAACCAATTACTTCTTCAGACGATGTCAGATCCTAATGTTTCCTTTATTTTAAGGAGTAAGATTACTTACTGTATACCTATATGATTGAGGCCGACGTTGGCTAATGTTTTTTTCTGTGTGATGTTTACCAAGAGTTCTGTGGTTATACTATAAAGAGAGTGTGTGTTTCTGGAGGAACGCGGAGGCCACGCCACTGCACATACTACACCGCCAGCATCACTACGACGGAAAAATTATTGTGGATCCAAAATTAAAAAGAAAAGGCAGAAAATAAATTAGTGGTAATGGGGAAAAAAAATTCTCCCAAATTCCAGTATAATTCTGCAATAACTATGAACTGGGAAATTAAAAAAAATTCACTTTTTCTAGCGATATAGTGTCACCTGCTTGGGCTCATATATACATACACACACATATATATAAAGTAATGGAGACTCGCTCTCTAGTCTCCAGTTGTAGAATAAGATCCAGACGTAAGGTTCTGATCCGATCATCGGGAAAAGGTCCTGCCCAATTAGCAAGATCTGACTGTTCAGGGAGCAACAAATGGACATCAATATCCCTCTGACCATAACATGTTTCTATCCTATACACTTCTCTCATTTTTTTTGTCTTCTTTCCGGATCGTTTTCCCATTCATCTTCTTTCCATCTCCTCATAGTGCTATTTCCTATTCAAACTAGTATACAAGACACGTTAAGTGTTGACTTGTAAGATTTAATCACTCCATGAGTTTAACTTGACACGGATCACTGAAAGTTCTGAGTTCTATGTTGATCTACAAATCCCTATTATCTAGTATAAGAGTCTATGTAACTGTTTAACCCTAAAAATGGCCATCTTGACACTACTTTTTCTGTTCCACATTTTCTCGGCGTTATTGCCACTCTGAGATCTGGTAATATGCATTTCTGTCCTCGTTTTCCTGACCTTTACCCTCTAATTTGGGTGGGTTGGTTAGTATTGTCACAATACCTAGACAAAATAATTTAAAAAATCTACGAGTTTCTGCCTCTCCAGATATATCAAACTTTATTCCTATATACATTCTCTATAAATGTGTGAATGTGCTTGTGTGTGAGGTTCTTCTCATATGACTGCTTGCAATCATCAAATATTTTTACTCCAATTACTAATGAATGACTACAAACGTATTCCTTTCAAATACACCATTTATTCACTTCATTTATTGGGTTATGCTTCACAAACTGCACGTGTTTACATGTAGATTATTTTTACACCTGATGGCCCTGCTCTCTCTTATAACTTTGATACACTGTCTTTCCATGTAATTTCTACACTAATAGGAGGTACTATCCAGCCAATCTCAGATGTAGCGCTATTTAAATGGAACTCTGTAAAACCACTACTTAGTACACCCGTGCAGAAACTGGTAGGCAAGATTAGTGCAGATACCAGAATGTCTATTTCAAGACACTGGAATTATACTGTTCTTCAACTCTGGCTGACAATCTGTATTACGTTTTACTTATTTAAAAGAAGACTCTTTATGTTCCTATCATACAACACTTGGTCTTTCCTTTGCCTGGATAACGAACAATCTCAAAATACGTTGACACAGTGTATTGCCTGTTGGTTATGGTACCTAAGTAATTGATGGAATTGTTTTTCTTTAAGCAATACGTTTGCTTTATAGTGGACCTCTTGTGATATAAAAGCAATAACTTAATAAATAAATCTTCATTCATAATCTGTCTGTTGTTTTTTGAGGGGGGGAAATGTCTCATTTTAAAATTGATGTGTATGGATAGGAATTATTTAATAGAATGGGCTTCACTTTGCAGTTGCAACGTTGGAATGTTAAAGTCTACTCTTTAACTTGATTAATGGCCGAGGTCAAGACATGTAATGAGTATTTCGGAAAAATGCTCACTCACTGGGAGTAAGTAATAAGTAATATTCTAGCAGGCTTTTAGATAGCTCTCAGAAATAAGGGCCATAAGGTTAAGTAGTCCCTTTATTTATAACAGTATCAAAATAGAATATAAAAAACACAACATATATATTGAGAATTATAAAGAACTTAATTACGTAAAATACAGAAAATATTAAAGATCCAATTCAAGTAAAGGTATTGCTCAACTCATGAGTGGGAGCCACTGTAGATCTCTGTTATTGAAGTGAACGAAGCAAAATCTCTTGAATTAATATATCTATATTTTATAAATTATCATCTCTACAGCATCCCAAATACAGCATAGTCAGAATTTATTTGGATTCATCAAAAGATAAACTTTCAAAAAGAAACAGTGGTAGTGGTGGTGGTAGTGGAGGGGTGGGTGGGGGGGATAGAGTTATAAAATGAATAAAATAAATCTCTCTATAAATCTTGGCTTTTATCTTTGGATTACTCTCAAACAGGATGTGAAAGGTTTGAGCGCTGATAGAAAACAGTGAGAAGAAAGAATTTAGAGAAGAATGTGTGGTTTGTGATCAATATACCAGATGGCCATTCTGCAGTGTCATAAATGAAACGTGATTATAGTTTGAGGACATACAAACAGTAACTTAATTACCAAACATCATACTAAAAGCTGGAAAGTAATTATCAT